TTTCGATTTTCGCAGGATTTCAGCGTTACATTTGGTCATTGTCCTGAGATCACTGTTTATACCAGCTGCTGTTACTTCCCGAGCGCAGGACAGCTTCCTGGCCTGTGGGCAGACCACAGGAAATCTCTCCTTAGCATGCTCGTGGAGGTGAGCCACAGTCAGGGGGAGGAAATTCTGGCAAGGAGTGAAGATAGTGGGCTGCGTGGGGAGGGGGAGAGGAAGAGAGTGGTATGGAGAGTCTTTGTGTTTTTGTTGTGCTGTGTAATTACAGATGGTCATAATTTAGACTGTGTGAGGAATGGATTGAACAGAGGCAGCAAGTGACCAGGAAATGTTTTGACACAAGAGTTAAACATCTGTGCTGTGTTGCCTCACAGTGGGCTGAGTGAGCAGTCCTGGCAGTATTGTGCACTTCTACTTAGTATGGGGATCAGGGATGGAGAACGGGCTGTATTTTGAAGCCAAGATTAGATCCTGTTTTAGTTACAAATGTGCCACATGCTTGGATGTGAACGCAAAGGGTTTGAAATGCTTTATTTCAGGTTCATAAGGGAGTTCATGGGTTCGTCCAGGACAAGAGTGGCAAGGCAATTTCTAAAGCTACCATTATTCTTAACGAAGGTTTGAAGGTCTCTACTAAAGAAGGTGGCTATTTCCATGTGCTGTTGGCTCCAGGTTTGCACAGCATCAATGCAATAGCCGACGGGTACCAGCAGAAACACGTCAAGGTATGTGAATGTGTGTCAGAGACCTTCCCCATGCTCCCTGCCATGTGAAGGCATCCCTATCTGGGCTCTGCCTAGTTGTCTATGTTAAGCTGCTGATTATGTGCCTAGAGTAGCTGTTTTCTGCCTTGATACAATGGATGGAGAAGAATTTCCCAGCACAGGAGGGTTTCTTTGAGCACAGGCTTTTCTTTCCATCGCACTTATCTTTGGCATCTGCCTGGTCTTGCCCTGGTCAGCAAGTGTATCTCTTGTCTGGACACCTAACAGAGGTGCAAGCTTTAAGAGAGTCTGAGTTGTTGTATCTTTCTGCAGGTCTTTGTACGTCATGATGCACCCAGCTCTGTGTTCATTGTATTTGACACAGAAAACAGGATATTTGGTCTGCCAAGGGAGCTGGTTGTGACTGTTGCAGGTAAAGTGACACTTTTGATCAAAGCTTTTGAGCTTTTCTTTTTGTACCAGTTCATGCTGACAATGACCGTTCTCTTTGCTGAACTGGAAAAGCAGCCTGCAGACTTAAGCCATCTCCTGCTGTCCCTTTTGCAAACTGGTCCAGGAACCCTTGGATCTGGTGATGCTGGGCTAGCAGATGGAAGGGGCCAGGACGCAGAGAGTGTTGTAGGGGTCTGAAGGCTCCAGAATGGACTTTGAGCTGCCTGGAATGGGGAAAGCCTGTTTGTGCATAATGCTGGAAGTTAGCAGATCTTGCTTCTTCCCCAAGGTTTCTTTGAGTGGTGTGGCACCAAGTAAGCATTAAGAGACTTTTTTCATGTGTGTCAAGGTGGAAGCTGCTGGGGAGGCTGGAGAGGTCTACCTCTCACTACCCAGTGGTCTGCAGAGGAGCTCAGTGATGTTATCCTAGATTGCAAGCACAGAAAATAAAGCTAGTGCAGTGCTGCTCTGGAAGCAGCTCTCTTGCATGGCATGTCTTCTGTGGCCTGGGCGGAAGGAGCTGGGTCACAGCGAAGCAAGGAAAGTGGCTGTGACTGTAGAAGGGAAGAGAGGTGGTGGCAAGCCTAGGAGCCTCTGGGGTGGGGGAACATGACATTAACTTTACTGCCTTGTCTCTGGCAGGTGCGAGTATGTCTGCTCTGGTCCTCACTGCCTGTATCATCTGGTGTGTCTGCTCGATTAAGTCCAACAGACACAAGGATGGCTTCCACCGCCTCCGGCAGCACCACGACGATTATGAGGATGAAATCCGTATGATGTCCACTGGCTCAAAGAAGTCCCTCCTGAGCCACGAATTCCAGGATGAAACAGACACTGAAGAAGAAACATTGTACTCCAGCAAACACTGACACCTCCCAGGCAGGAAAGGAGGTTTCCACGGACCAGACTCGGTGGCGGGGGGACGAGCCCTGTGGTTCAGTTTTGACATGTTAACTTGCAGGATGTGTCCTCCAGAGATGTGGGTGGCAACTCCCAGCTTCGGTCTACTGTTTGCTTTGTTCCTGTGTACATGCAAATCAGTGGGCGTTGGAGCCTGTGTTTGGGCTAAGGACATGGCTTGTTACTTTTCTGGGTCAAGATGTGGAGGTTCACATGACGTTTGAAAGACAACAGGGTGGCCAGCAGAGTTCCTAGCACTTCCCCAGCATCTCAGCAGTCAGCAGATGGTGGGGAAGTGCCCCGAGACCTGCACGGAGTCATAGTTACAACACTCCACAGCAGTTTCTCTACCAGTTTTGATTTCGTGTTTTCCATTCTGTACTTGGGGGAAGCCAAATCCTTCACTTGACTCCACGTTCTGCAGAGCAGCCCTTGCAAAAAGACCAAAAAAAGCAAAAAAAAAAAAAAGCAAGCCCTTGGTTCTCAGCTGTTTCTTTGGAGCTTTTCTCCACCATGAGATGCTGTGGCCTGCTATGATCTGCAGTGGTTTTGGAGCACCTCTGATGCGTTGCTAATTCCAGGCAGTGACTTGGCATCCTGAAAGCTGGGGGAGATGACATCAGTTCTTGATGTGAGCTGGAGAAAGGAGCAAATGTCAGAGCTTCAGTGAACTCTGACAAAGTTCAGTTGCTTGCCAGCTCTGCGGTACTGCTCTTCCTGACTTCTGGGGAAGAAAGAAACTTTATCCCCATCACCCCTGGTTGCTTTTTATTTGTGCAGTAGATTTGGCCCTCGGGGGTCTCACGTTAGTATTACAACAGCACAGTGTCTGAAGGAGCAACTGAAGGTTGTTTTAAGCAAATGGTTAAACTGAGTGTGGTGGATACTGTAGAAAAGCAGTTGCTTACTGACTCCACCTGAACATTTTTGCTCAAGTGCACCACTATTCAGGAGGGAACAGTGAAATCTGACTGCTGCTTTGTATCTGAGCATTACTGGAGCAGCAGGGAGAGAGGTCATGGGAGTGTCCATGGCCCAGTTTTAGTCTTAAATTTTGAAAAAAGCTGTGCCATTTGCCATTGTCTACCTAATACCATTTAGTGATCAGAGCACTTTGGAAACACCCTCTCATCGAGCTCTGGTGATGGTAGGCGTCAAATTAGCCTGCTGGCTTGGCTCTCTTCTGCTACTACAGCATCCCCGAAGTATGTAGCAAGAGCTCCACCTGCTTGTGTGTCTGCAGTTGTGGCTGCTGCTGCGGGGGCCTTGGGTGCAAAGGCACGAGGGAGGACTGAACGGCTGTGTTGGAGGGGAAGGCAAAAGCAGCCAAATTTTGTAGCACTTGGCAGGAAGTTGGAAAGAGGAGCCGCAGCGTTGCATCCCCAAGACACGTGGGATTTGTGGGGAATAGAAGGGATGTCCAGGAGGAAAGAATGGCTGAAATCTTTGATTTCCAAAGCCTTTAAGTATCTCTGGTGTTCCTGTGCTTTCTGGGCAGAAGTCTGGGGTTAGAATAGGCACTTATTTTCTTGCTGCTCATTTTCTTATTTAATTCTTGCCCCATTGACCTGAACTCCGGGGTGCAGGAGCCTGGTGCAGCAATATCTTGGGCACCTAGTTTGCCCTGAGCTGATCTGTTCTCTGGCAGTTTGGGGAGGTCCACTAGTGAAACCTGCACATGGTGTCTGTGGGGGAGATGTTTGCACCCACATGTATGATGGCGTCTGTTCTGCAGGGCTCTGACCTGGTCTCTGGGGGAAAACTGTTGAAGACTGTTGGGCCATGTCACCTGAGGAAGGAGCTGTTCCTCACCTCTGTGTGCAGTAGATGCTCTTCCCGAACCACGTGCCTGTGGCCGTGCTGCTATGCTCATGGTCTTGGCTGATTTTGTTTAGCTCTCTGGAGGGACAAAGACAACCCTTAGACACCAGTATACCTTCTACCCTGTTCCGTGGGGAATTATATTGCAAGAAACACATGATGTGGCTGGGGAGGTGTGCTGGGAACAGGGACGTGAGGCTGAGCATTCCCCATGCTCGTGTCCCACATCGCTGTGGTGTGAAAGAGCTGCTCTTGCTGCCTGTGTTGTACAGGAGCCATGAACATCTCTGCCTGCTCCCAGCTCATGGTGCAGAGCTGGGCATGGGATTTGGTCCTCAGCTGTGACCCTTTTCCATCTGTAATGGGCTGCAGCACGCAGTGGTGTTAATAACCCCGCCTAATCTCCAAATTTCTCCAGCTTCTGAGGGCTTTAACCAGAGACACAGCTGGGGTTTTATATTAAAGTTGAGTTTGCAAATGGCTTTTAGAGCTCTGGGTTTTGTTTTCTCTGGCAGCAGGTAATGGGACCGAGCTGGCCTTGCTTTGTCCCACTAGCAGCAAGTCTCATTAAGAACTGGCCCTTTCCCTCCGAGAGTGCGTTTTGCAGTTAGCCTGGAGTAGGTGTCATGTTTAAGGTGAGTGGATTTCAGATGTTTTGCAAACGTATGAGACTTTTCTACACAGCAGGACCAGGTCCGTGTCTGGCTCTTGCCCTGCGTTCAGAGCCGCAGCAAGTAAGCGCTGGGGCTGTTTGTTGCCAGTTTTGGGAAGGCAGGAGCGGCCTCCCCTCGCCGTCGGTCTGTCTGTCTGTCCGTCCATCTGCGGGAGTGCCTGTGCCGCTTCGGCCAAGGAGCCAGTCCTCCGCGGGCCCTTGTCTGTGGAGCGTGTCGGTCCGTGCACTGTGCCTTCAAATGTACATTTTTAAAAGGGACTTGAATCGCCTTTTCCTGGCTCCCCCATCGTCAGGGCCCCCCCCCCCCTTGTCGGTCCCCCCTTTCCCTGTGGGTTTCCTCACTCTGGGGCTTTCGAGAAGTGTCTGCCAGCGGCGCTTGAAAGCACCTCGTGAAAACATTTCCCCTGAAGGCGTGGGGTCATGGCGGGTTTGTGACTTCTCCCCGGCTCTGGGCCGCCCTGTGCAGATCTCAGGAAGCAGGCGAGGCAGCTGGAGAACGAGCTGGACCTGAAGCTGGTCTCCTTCAGCAAACTCTGCACCAGCTACAGCAGCACCCGAGACGGAAGGCGCGACAGGTATAGGTACTAGCCCATTTTTTAAAATATTTTAAACGCTGCTTGTGGTACTTGGTTCATTTTTATAATTTGCTTCATGCTAGTCCCACCTGTGGCTTTTATGCTTAGCTTCTTAAGAAGCTCATTTCAGCACTTCTTGATGATGTGACGCTGGTGTTGGTCTTGATGCAACATTGAGTGATATTGGCTCATGAGTCAGGTGCATGATGGGCTGCAGTGGTGCAGACTGAGAGCAGGGGAAGCTGAGTTTAAACTTCAGTTTGTAACTGAAGCGTTAGTGCGTGAGCTGATGAGAAGAGCTTTTTAATGCTTATTTTCCAATTTTACTTGCGTTGAACTAGTAAGAGCTTTTCAGGGACATCAGTATTAGGGGAATTCAGCCTTATACCTTTCAGGTGGTCTGGTGCAGTATTTGTAATCCCTGATTTAATAGTAAGTGAACTGAAGCTCTGAGCAGCTGTGACTGCTCCAGGGTTGCTCAGAGGACCAGCCCTCCCTTCAAGAGGAGTAGCAGTTTCTTTCTGGCTTTCTCACAAGATGAATAGTAATAGTGAGAGCTAGATACACATTTATATATATACATGAGCCAGATAAATACATACATATATGAGTACTTTGCTTTAGGCAGATTCATGTTTGACTGAAGAATTAATGTGGTAAAACTTTTCAAGTCTTTGTAGCTTATGGGCTAGAGTTGAGGTCTTCTCTGGATTTCCACAGCACTGATTATCACCTTCTCTGGCGCTGGGCACAACCTTTAAAAACTGTCATTCTTTGCTTATTAACTGTGGGTCCCACCACTGTGTATTGGTTGTGTGACTACTGTATGATATCTTTATTTATTTATTTGGTGATTGAATCAGTTTTGAACCTTTACATGAATTTCTGGTTCTGGAAGCCTCAGAGTCTCAAGAATGATCATGTTACTCTTGAATCAGAGTCCTAGTCTCTTGTTTCTGGCTCTGTGCTGTTACTTGCCAGGTACTCTAATTGTTTTAATTATTTTTGCTGTCCTATGCAAAATGTACTTTTCTTGCTCTAGTTATGGTGGATTACCAAAGCAATGAGTAGTCTCTGAAAGGCATTAGTTCTCATACTTTGCAGGTTGGCATACCCTGTGTTGTGCTTCTGTTCTGTTGTTTATATATGACTTTTGATTATGGTTTTAGTTTATCTTAAAAAGCATGTAGGGAAGGTGTACTGTATGAAACTGTAATTGGCATAAATTGTGTGGTTTACATCACTCTGTAGAACACTGAGTGCTTAATAGGTCAGTGGGTTGTCCTGACACTGTTACTAAGGTGTAATTATGTAGCTGGTGTAACATGCTAATAGTGCAGTGCTCCTCCTGCCAATAAATAAATAAGTCAAGCTTAAAACTTGTGGAGGGAAGTGCATTGGTGCTAGACACATGCTGGTAGTAGACAAGTTTTTGGTGTCAGGCATGTCTTCCAAGGAGAGGTTATATTTTCCCCAGATAATACTTTGTCATTAGTTAAGAGTTAAAGGCATGTAAAGAAAATGTAATTTTTCTGAGCTTAATGGATCTGTCTAGGAAACCTGGGTAGTGGAGCTGGCCAACACCTGACACTTGTGTTTCCTTATTTCTTGCATTTTTTAAAAGCTGATGTTCTTTTCAGTAACTGCTCCTCCTCTCTTTCCTTAGCTCTGACACAACTCCTCTCTTAAATGGATCAAGCCAGGACAGAATGTTTGAGACCATGGCTGTGGAGATTGAACAACTTCTGGGAAAGGTAACTCAAGTTACTGTGGTTTTACTTCAGCATCTAGGAAACATTGCAGTATAGATTTCCGTGATGAATGTTAGGAAATACATGTGTGGGTGTTAGACAAGTGTTTCTAAAGCTATGTGTCTGCCATTAGAGCTAGGTCCTTCAACTTACACATTGTAACTTTCTTAGAAGAATAAGCCATTTCATGTTTTTGTGGGGTTTTTTGTCTTCCTCTAGCTTACTGGAATAAATGACAAAATGGCAGAATACACAAATAGTGCAGGAGTACCGTCCCTGAATGCTGCACTGATGCATACATTACAGCGTCATAGAGACATATTGCAGGTAACAAACACATGTCCTTCTTGTTCTTATTTTATTTCTTTGATTGGAATAATTACTAGCAGTGCTGATAATAGAGCATGCTTGAATGTCTTACCAGATGATTTAAATGCCACTGATCCCATCTCAATTTTCTTCTATCCAGACACCCCAGTCAGTGAACTCTGAGTTGAAGAAATAGCATTTTTTTATGTCATATTGGTGCCTAGTACCTAACCAAGAAGGAACAGTAAAGCATGTCATCTTATGAGGGTGTCTTTACAAAGGGGAAGGGTACTGTAATGAATTATTTTGTCTGTGTGGTCTGTTCTGATGTGAATTTCCTATTTGTATTAAAGAACAGTTAACATTTGAAAAGATGGTTGGATCTTACTTGAGTATGTCGGGTTGTTAAATTGATCTCAGGATCCTAATTTTGGAATAACTGTTTTATTACAGGATTATACGCACGAATTCCACAAAACCAAAGCAAACTTTTTGGCAATACGAGAAAGGGAGAATCTGTTGGGATCAGTACGAAAAGATATCGAGTAAGTCATATTGTGTGTTACAGCCATGGCCTGGGACTGCCTCGGAGGGAGAAGGTGGGAAACTCTCCTGTAGGAGAATACTTGGTGTAGCTTATTTGTCTGTGCTTTGAATAAAACAAAAGTTACTTGAATTCACAACTCTTATTACAGTTGTGATAAGATTCTGTTTTGTTGTTGGATTCTAGATCATATAAAAGTGGGTCTGGTGTGAATAACAGAAGAACAGAACTATTCCTGAAGGAACACGAACACCTTCGAAAGTAAGTGTTACTTGTTACTTACTTATGTTGCACGTGCCTAACTTCTCTGGGGGATGAAACATTCTTAATTTCAAGTATGTGTGAAAGCTTTGTCCATTTGTAGATGTGTAAGTTCACAATGAATGCCTTGCACTATGTATTCTGTGACGGTGCTGCTACTTATGCAGCTGGATAAACATTTACTGCTTATGCTGACTGAAATGCATATAGCAGGTAGTAGTCACAGTAGTTTTCAGTGATTCTGACTTCAGGATCTTGTCAACTCTAAGTGACGTTGTATGTTTTCTTCAGTGGGTTTTTGCAAGTCGCTCGTGACTCAGACTTCATGCTTGGCCCCTCTTAAGGAAGTAGATGCCTTTATAGTATACTAACTGGGATAAGGGTTAAGAAACAAAACAAAGTCTGAATGATTTAGCTGGTTTTCCCATTCTTCTTTGTCAGACAGTGAAGAACCTTTTTTTTCCTTTTGACTCAACTGAATGTGTACAAAAGATGATGGAAGAGACTAATTCCAAAATTACCTGTGCACTTAAACTACAGTCAATTTGCAACTATTTATTGACCAAGATAAAAAGCAAAATAGAAAGCACTTTCTTTTTATCTTTGTTGCAGAGAGGGCATTAGATTACAAATAGCTGCTTTTTGTGTTCCCCATTCAGCAAAAGCAGAACAGTCAGAAGGAAGAGCACTGGAAGGTTCATGTTTTCTAGATAGTCAAGAAATAGTACTGATCTTCATGCCTTTGTGTTCTTGGCTGTAGACATGCTAAACCTCATTCTTACACAAGAGGGCAGGCTTTAATTTAAAATAAATAAATAAATAAATAAATAAATAAATTACCTGTGTCTTTCTCAAATGTGCTCTTGTAAAGATAATTTAAACTTCTAGCCAGAACTGCACAAAAAGCTTTTATAGGAAATGAAAGCCAAGTTTTTCAGTTGTGGCTTAGCACCATTTCATCCTCAATTTTCTTTAATATTTTTAAAACTTAGAAATTAATTCATTTAAAGCTTGAATTATGACTTAGGCTAGGTTGGATTTATTATTAAAGATGCATGATCAGAAAATGTAAATTTTCCAGGAAAAAAACCCAATCTTAATATTTTGGAGGTGAATGTTACCTGAAATGTGGTACTTTGAAGAATCAGTGTCAGTTAATTTGAGTAAACCTGATTCTTTCCCAGTGTTGTATTTGGGGTTTTTTGTTTTGCTTGGGTTTCTTATTGGAGGGCTAGTAAATACTTTTATGCATCTGGCAGTTTAAGGCTACAAATATTTCTGGAGTTGTAAAATATGTTTGTAAGAAACTGGCATTCCTCTACTATTTTGAACAGTTTGAAACACTGAAGAGAAGAAAATTTAGACCATTTCGTAAATATTTTCCAGCAGATGTCTTCAGAATTTGAGCCTAGCATTTGTTGTGTCCTTGATTGCTTTAATCTCTTTAAACATGCTAAACTCTCCAGTATGTTTTTAGGATAAAAATGCATGAAAAATAGAATTAAATAAGGCAGTTTTGGAAGCAGTTAAACTATCTTCTAGGTGATTATTTTAAAATGTCAAGACTTGAAAAAAAACCCCACAACACTGAAAACAAGAAGTGTGAGTTGGGGATCTTTAGGAGACAGGTCCAAAACTAATCCTGGAACACCACTGCATGGTGGAGATGACTGTAAGGTGTGTAAAGAAATCTGGTGTAGAAGCAGAAGACAACTTTGGTGAGAAACCAGAGCTTGCAGGTTGTTCAAAACTTTTGAATTGAGATTTGAATTGAAAGAGATACTGGCAGAGGAAATTATTAAAGAGTTTCAACATATTTGTCTTCAGAGAAAGCAGTTAATTAGCTCTTAATGCCAAAAAGCTGTAAAAGCTAGCAAAAGGTCCCAAGAAATCACAAGGAGCTGGCAGATTACACCAAACATGCTCTTAGGATAAGCTGACAAGCTTTATGTGAGTCTTGATGCTGCATATTTTCAGCACAGTAAATTAAGGTGCTAGACTAATTGATTTAACTACATAATGAATATATATTTATACCTTGTCACAAAGACACAGCGGTAAAAACTCAAATGAATTTTTAGTGAAGTTGTGAAACCTATAAAAAGAGCTTGAAAAATGGAGATGGGAACAGAAACTTTGCAGGTGTATTATAATATGCTGCAAAGTAATGAAATAATGTCACAGAAATTATATATTCGTATCAAATACTGGAACGTTCACTTGGTTTTGACCCTGTGTAATTTCTCATATTAAGTACTTTAACCTATTACATATTTATTCCATGATCTGATAATGGAGACTGCATGAGCTATTACGCCACTGCAGAGTACCAGACTCATCTGTCAGCCTTTTTCTTTATGCACTACCATGTGAGACAGGATAAGCGGAAACTTGAGTTTACTCTTGGCGGTGTTTTCCGTGAATGCTCTTTAAAAAGCATGCTGGCAGCACTAGGCAGTGTTGTTTCTGGTGGTATCTCACTGGGGAGTAAGAGGAGGAGAGCCAGAAAGCTCTTCTCTGGGAGGGACTTCGGCGAGAAGATGGACCTCTGCTTTTTTACCTAAATCTGCATTTTTTTTCTTTTGTTACATTTTGAACATCATCTCTTCTGAAAGAAGAATGAAGGAAAATCTGTCTCATTTTTACATACGTAGGTAATCCTAAAAAGGAGGGGAAATAAGAAATCTGTGAGTACAAAATTTCGATGAATAAAAGGATCCAGCGTGTCTTAAGCACCAAGGGAATTGCAACAGCTGAAGCTCTGTGCGAGGTCTTGCTGTGCCTGTAATACATAAACTGCTGTCCATTAAGCCGTGAGGATCGTGCGTCCATTTGGATTCGCCTTCCCCGGGTGGGGCCGGCTGCTGTGTCAGTGCTGCTGGCACAGGGGTGTTGAACACTTTCACAGCAGGATGGTGGTGCTTGGGGCAGCCCCCGGGCTGGGGGCATGCTGGGCGCTCTGCTGCTGCACCCCCGTTCTGGGAGGGTTAGAGAAAGCATGGCGTGTTCTTCTCTCTTCGACTGAAAGCTTCGCTGCTGGTTCAGTTAATTTTATAAATTGGCTGATTCTGAGTTTTATTGGGAAGGGAGATTTGTCTGGAAATTTTATTGACTGTGGCTAGCAGGCATGAAGTTTATAAGTCACCCAGTTTCCTACTTCTATACAGATAACTCAGGGATAGTTTAACCTACCTTTAGAGAGCAAAGCAATAATACCTACATTTTTTAATAAAAATTTTAACACCTGTTAATTAAAAGGAGGCTGGAAGACAGGTCTTGTTGAATATTGATGCTCTGTTAATATTTCTACCTAATACCCCAGATCTTTTGGCATATCAGATGCTTAAAGAAATGCCAAATCTGGCCTGGTCATGTTTGCAGTTGATTTTTGAATTCTTGTTTCCTTGGGCCTGTGCCATTCAGTAAAGGTGTTTGTCTCATCTTTTCTGTTCTTCTACTTTTGGCTAGGGAGGTAAACAAGTCATTCTTTTTCTTGTAATACTGTTTTCCATCTAAAGAAAACAGTTTTGATGAATAGATCTAGCTTAGCATTTCAAAAACTGCTCTGAAAAGTGCTGCCTCAGAGGAAAGAGTCCTGTCAACTTAGTGTTTGCCCTGAGAAATTCTGCAGTTATTGATGAGTTGTAGTCTAAGTCAGCCAAGAAGGGACTAATGCGTTTGATTAAATTTGCAGTATTGTGTGTGTATGCAAATGAAAATTTCCCTTGTACTTGCATTATATGTGAATGTTACTGTATCAGGTGATACAAATGAATTTGTGTAAAAAAAATGATGAAGGCTTCCAAGGTTTAGATAGAAATTACAGATTTTATTCCCTATGATGAATTCATTGTAAAACCAGATGAAAACTGGACCACTTAGTGGTACTAGCATTTGTGTAGCAGATCTGTCACTGTAGGGCCACTGTATCACTGTTGTTTTATTAATCAGTGCTCAAATTCAGACATTTGTCCTTTTCCAAAAGAAGTGGCTGGTGGGAAAGCAGGTGCCTGTGCTAAGGACATAAAACATCCCTGTGTGTATTAAAAGGTTTAGCACTGGGAACAGAGAGGGTAGGGGTGCCAGAATAGGTGGATGAGAAACTTTGAAGGAGAAAAAGAGGAGAGCAGATAAATCAGAGAGGGATGTGTTCTGCATGTGAAAAAGAGGAATAAGAGAAGTGAGCAAAAGAAATAACGGGAATCTGCAGGAGTTGCGTAATGGTGCTATTAATAATACATACCTGATTCGTGGAGATGATTAGGGTAAATTAATGTTCGTGCAGTGCTTCATATATGTGAAAGTAATCTGGAGGACTGAATATTTTTATTGCTATTATTATTGGATTTCATTTTTCAGCAGAACTATTTCAAATTTCCTGTTGTTGTTTGGGCAGAAATGGCCACATTCAGTAGAGAATAATCACCGGGAAACTGCTTTCAAACTTTGTTCATAATACAGTCCAGATCTTAATAGAGGGAGTGACTTGTTGACCATTTTTCCTCTAAATATTGATATTGCTTACAGATTTTCACTTCGGTGCTGATTTGCACGGAGAAGTTAGCTTTGTGAGATGCAGAGACACCTTACAGGGGTTTTGATTACAGGTGTGTTGATCTTTTGGCAAAAAGCTACCAGTTCTCTGCCTTAATCTCATTTCCTTTTCTTTTGTTATCCCTGTTCTCTGCTCCACACGCCCTGATTTCCTTTCACCATGCTGTTGCTGCTCAGGTTCCTGCGGATTTCAGTGCACCTTCAGTATTCGATTAAAACCAGAGAAGTGCTGTTGTCTCTCCTTCCATCCCCAGGGAGGGGGAAGCCTCCAGTCGCCAGGGGAGGACACACAGATGCTTGGGCAGTAACTGCTCTGGTGTTTCACCACTGCACCTCTTTCATCTTCTCTTGGAAGGAGAAAGACTATAGGAAAAAGAGCTAATTCACCAATTCCTTTTTCCTTCCCAAGGTGGTTGGGGAAGCAGCAGGGAGGGAGGAGTGTGATG